CGTGATCCCTCCTACGCTCAAGAATGATGAGAAAGCAACGGAGGCGAGAAATCCATATTTCATGCACATTTTGAACTATCCAGTCATGACAGATGATGCTTATCCCCGCCAACGCCTCCCAAGTTATGCATGCTCGTGTCGTGTCACCAAACGCCAAGTTGCCCGTGAAACAGCCAGCCCAAAAGCATTTTCCTGACCAGCTTCGACGCCGCCTGCCGTCACCATCTATTCCTCTGGCCCCGGCCTCCCATTGAGCCACTTACTCATATAAGGACCATCCAACCAGTACCCCAACTTGGCATAATAGCTCCGGACGCCCACCCCCGAGATAACACTAATCTTCTCACTCCCATGCTCCTCCCGCGCGATCCGCTCCGCCTCCTCCATCAACAACGTCCCAAAGCCCTGGTGCTGGAACTTCCGCGGGTCGCGCGCATGCACGGGCACCGCCATGCCATAGACGTGCAGCTCCCGCACCAGGCTGGTCGGCTGCCCGACCAGTTCCTCCCGGAACGTGTACTTCTCGCTGCACTTGCGCAGCCGCAGCAGCGCAACCAGGATATCCTGCTTGGGGTCCTCGTAGGCGAGGAAGGTCTCCCAGCCGCCGTTGGCCGTGTAGTCCCTGCGGACGAGCTCGATCTGGTTGGGGCGGATCTTGTGTTTCACCTCGTTGACGCCGACCTCGCGCGTGCGCACGTCGCGGCAGGTCGTGCCGAAGTCCATCATGCGCGCCAGCGCCAGCTCTCGCAGGTTGCCGTTCTCCACGCCCGACGAGACGAGAGGCATGGGGATGTCGCGCTGGACTCGGTAGATGCGCGTCCAGGGCGGCACGAGCGCGAGGATGCGCGCCACCAGGTCGATGAGCCCGTTGGGCGTGTAGTTCTGGTACCGGCCTGTGCGCCAGAGCTCGTAGAGCCCCGTACCGCGGATCACTAGCGTCGGGTAGATCTTGAGGCCGTCCGTGCGGAAGGCGGGGGACTCGAAGTACTCTTTGAACTGATCCAGGTCGCGCTCCATGCCGACGTTGGGAAGATCGGGCATCATGTGGCTGACGACCTTGAAGCCGGCGTCCTTGGAGAGGCAGAAAGTCTCGGCCACGAGGGATCATGGATCACCGCGGCGGCAAGGTCATCCAGGGGAGGTAGCTGGGTGGGAGGTACAGGAGACAGAAGATAGGTAGGGCTGGGGAAAAAGGAGATCGGATACGCTAGAGCCGGAGGGGGAGACGGCGAGGGTGAGAGTTTAGAGGTTCGAGAGTGATGGGAACGGTGATGGGTGGGTGAGTAACGATTGGAGGGGGATGAATGATCGTTGAGAAGGGGGTGGTGGTGTGTGGGGTTTGGGTTTGGGGAGCTTTGGTTTAGGGTGCTGATGATTTTGGTGATCGGATGATGCCAATCCATGGTGGCTACCTGGCTAGCTGGTTTAAGGGTGGTGGGTGGTGTGCCTGAGAGCGAGTGAGGGCGGGAGGGCGGACGGACGGACGGGCGGCTCGACCGTTGAGATGGCAAATTGGCTGCTGCTTGTTGGTTGGGGGGTTTCTTTTTTTTGGTCGTTTCTGCCCTGTCTCCTCCTCCCCCTCTGGGCTAGTTAGAGGACAGGGGAAGGGCGATCTCGCGCTTGTCTGCCCGCTGCCCGCCTGCATGCATTACATTGCCTTAACATTACCTTACCGTCGACATCACCCGTCCGGTCGGTGACGAGTGGCACAGCTTTGGTTCGTCCTCTGATCGTGCGGCGAGGGGCCCAGAGAAGGGGAAAGAAAGACATGCCGGCAGGGGAACACGCAGGCGAGGCGGCGAACGAGAGGCACAAGCTGTCTCAGAAAGGAGGGGAGCAAGTAAACGATCACGGTCGTACACGGTACCAGAGCTCTCTCTCGACTTTGCTGCAGCAAGTTTGGCTGCTTGAACCGAGACATCCAAGAGCTTGATAGCCCCATGCCGTCCCATGATAGCTACCGAGCAGCGTCAAAAATCTCGACTTGGCCTTGACTCGCCACCGGCGCGCAGGATTCATGTGATGGACGCGCAAGAAAGCAACCGAGACGGGTAAAAATTACCAGTGATGCTTAAGTGACCGTCTGTGTGTTTCTACTGCGGCGGTCGGCCCTGGACATCCACGGGTTTTCGGGCATCTTCCATGATGAAGATGCCGCTCCCATAACGGACCTAGATTCAACACCGAGGGTGTTTAGATAAACCGCGAGCCATTGAATCTCTCGGCGCGGTAGCATTCACCTGGCGAAAGCAGGGTTGTGCAGCCGGGAAAAGGTCCGTTGTGAGGGTTTTGATGACTCGGACCGGTTCCAGGCGTCTGGTGGAAAATTACGTTTATTTATTTTTTTGCCTTCGGTCCCTTGAAGCTCGTCTTCGGTGCCGCAGTGCCCGGTTTCGTCAGTCGATCCACGGTCCTACCTGTCCAGCGAGGCAAATACTCCGGAGCTGTCCCAAGACCTGGTCCCGGGAGACTGGAGCGGATGCGCGAATTTCTGGGGTTTGGCGTCCAGTTCGGTATTCCATCTACGCACTTCGACGCCAGGGATTCCTGGGAGAAAAAGAGAAGCAACCAAAAGCGGTGTTCCCTGGACGAACAACGAGTCGACGGTTGAGGATGGTCGCGAACAGAGAAGCTGGCGATGCTGCTTCGCGCGCGGGCATTAATCAGCGTCCATGAATGATGGACAAACACGTCCCTCGAATATGTCAGTAAAAACACAATCATCTTACCACAATACGCTTTCTCTGCTGGCCCGCGGTATTCGCACGGAGCGAGACGCAAGACGTTGGCGGTTGAAGCAAAAAGGAAACAAACAAAAAGGGGCGGGGTTCGGGTTGGGGTTGGGGTTGGCGGAGTGCTGAATGAATTCCTCAGAGCACTTACACGGGTCAATACCACAAAGGACTGGTGATTGAGGCGGGGGACGGCCTGAAACCCCGAATGGGTCTGCTCAACTCGACGAGGGTTTCGGTTTGAGAAGGGTTAGGGGTGATCCTGTGGGCATGTGCTTACTTGTAGAAGTACAGAAGACAGGCGGCTTTCAGCGCGGGAAGCAAAGTTACTGAAACAACACAGAACTTTGGGCAGTTCCCGGTGGGTCCGCAAGTTATCCAATGATAGTCGTTGTTCTTCAGAGGGAAAGTGGGCAGAAAAAGCATTGACCAATGGCAGAGACTGTAAGAAGCCCACACCTGACAAATGCGAGCGGATCTGGCTAGCAGCACTGCAACCTGACTCCAGCAACCAGGATCAGGCTCTGCACAGTTTCCCCCAGGACTGTACTGTATTCCGTTACGTCGAATGCACCACACTCGCACAGAACTCGACTCTCCCAAACTAGAAGTCCTCAGCGGATTGGCGCGGACCTGAATGGGTGATTCACACACGTCTGCCGAGCAACCACGATCCGACAGGGAACATGTCTGGATCTTTTGCTGTGGACCCGGGCCACGCACTTCGGGGCACGACCTGGCTCTACAGCGCATCCTAACGTATCAACATGACATCTTCACGCGGGGACAAGTTGCATTTCCGCCCTTCCGTGGTGTATCAGTGACGGAGGCTGAGAAGTAGCATGTCACTGATGTTCTCACTCCCAGCTTCTTCCTTGGCGAGCCCGCGAGAAGTGTGACGGGATGAGGGAGGGCGAGGCGAAGTCTGGCGGTTCAGGGTTACCGTCGATACAAATCAGGAAGCTCGTCGTCTTGGTGTGTTTTAGCCGGCATATTGCTAAGCTCACCGCAGTTCCTAGTCTGGCTTTGTGGCCGTATCTGCGCGAGTTATCAATCTTGTCTCGGCTGCGCTCTCCAGCGAGGGTGCTTGACGCGGCCCGAGAAATACGGGCATGGGCCGTCTGTCGCACAAACGTGGACGGGAGCGGGCTTCTGCGGGCTTCTGCTGGTTGCATGCACATATCATATGTCGTAGAACCTTAACCTATGATGAGACAGGCACAGCTGGGACTACAGTTACACAACCGCGAGAGGGTGGGCAGGACGCGCACATGCCGTTCAACACTGGCGGGGGAATGCCCAGGAACCACTCGCCGGCTCTTCGACTCAAACACCTCCAAAAGTGTTCGCCGCCGCCGCCAGAGGGCCCTCCCCCCACTCCCAGCGAGTTACACAGTAGAGATCTCAACGACTGAAAGGGTCGCTGATGTGTACCAGAGTGGATGCCAGGGTGGACAGCACATGATCGCGATGGCGACGGAAAAGCTGCCGGGGTGGAGCGGCGGCAGGGGCAGGGGAGGGCTAGACCCACGAAAAGAGCGAGGCGGAAACCGGGGGCTGACTTCCCCGGTGCATCTGGCGTCCATATCGATCGGGGGGCCCAACCTGACCAGGAAACAGCCCGGGTCCACCCGCCGTCGATGGTGATCAAGCAATGTGCAAAGAGGTCAACAAGTCTCGCGGAGATGCGGAGCAACAAACAATCCCATCATGATAATGATAACGGACGGACGCGCCAAACCAAAGGGGGACCGAACCTGGGACGTCTCAGAAAACCACCCGCGTCCTCTGGCGAGCGACGCGGCGAGGTGGTGTGATGAGCGAGCTGTCACCTCGTCGGTGGCGCGGTGCAATCAAGCGAATTCGTTTCGCTGACGTGTTTGGATAGCGTCAGGCAGAAGGGTAGCGGTTCCGTTCTGCTGGGTCCTCACGGCGGCTGCGCGGTGATACTCTACAGAGATGGCGCAGAGGAGTTGACCCGGCCGAAGCCCGGAAACGTCGACGAGGTGAGGGGCGGGGGAAACGCCGAGCAAATAACGTTACTTGTCCAGAGCAAAGAGCGGGACAGAGGACGTTCGGGAGCTCGGAATGGGAGGCCGACATGGGGTCAAATCTGGTTGCGGATATGCGCACTCCCCGTTGCAGTTCGCAGTGCTAGTAACTCGTCACTTGTACGAAGTACTTTCATCTGTACTCGTTCTCCTCTCCCGACGCAACACGCATGGAGGTGGCGGGTGAAGATGCTCCCCTTGGGCATGATCGTAATGGAGATTGTCAAGTCGGGTTGCCTGTTGATCTCGCGCTGCGCTGCGTTTTAACTTGGTGTAAAGAAACGGTTGCGTCGTCAGAACAGCCGTGCTCCACAGGCACAACACCGTCGCTCACCGGCTTTCATTTACGCAATATTTCCCATCCGGTGATAGTGCGTCATTTCGGGCTGCTGTGAGACCCGAGACTTGAACTTGAACGGCTGGAGAAGAGGGACGCCGAGAGGGCGCATCAGCGGGCGTCGAGGCCGGGTAGGGGGAATGCCTGTCGGTGTTCGAAAAAGTGGCGATTGGCGGGAGAGCGAAAGGTTTCGGGGATCCATTTCTTGCGCCTGAGACCCTGCCGCTCGCTGCTAGCGTAGCAGCGTAGCAGCGGAGCAACCGCGACTTGCCTGCGTCGTGGAAAAGTGCATTCGTGGCATGGGGGTTTCATGACCACCGAAATCAAGATAATTTTTCAGCAATGGCGATGTGGTTGTCGTGTGTGGTTCGTGCACAGCGCGGTTCGCGGGCGCCGTTGGTTATCCTGAAGGTGTGTTGGTGGTTTGAGCTGCACGGCTGCCCCTCCTTGTGCCCAATCGCCATGCGCAATAAGCGCGCCCATGGTGTTTTGTGTGCCGAACCAGTCGGCGATTGCCAGGGAAGGGTGGGAAAGTGGGAAGGAGGGGCCTTGGGGAGGGGGCCACCGGCCTGATCTGCACCTCATCGTAAAGTCGACTTCAGCTTCCGTTTTTTTTTCTCACACATTTTCCTCCACTGACCGCTCATCACTTCAGCACTGCTCCAGGTTGCGGCCCAAAGAGGAATAGTACGGACCCGACAGACTGGTAAGAGATACGATTGGCCCAAGCCCCCTTGCCCTCAAGTCGCAGCACCAATCACACATCGGGGAAATGGACAACCCCAAGCACAGAAGCGCGCTGCTCTGTCGCCCTTCGCTGCCCCCAAGAGCCCGGAGGCCCGCTGTGCCGTAACCGGCGGATGCGCTTCGAAACACGAAGAGGCTGTTTGGAGAGGGCTGTCAATCGAAATGCAGGACTCTGGCAACATCGGGATCATCAAAATAGGTGCCGATGGAACGATAATCAATAGGCCAAGCAACCGTTTCATTGGAACGCGCGCATTGTCGCCGAGGACAGTAGGGCAGATATTGTGGTAATTATGGTGCCAGGTATGTGCTGCAGGCTGCAGAACCCGCAGGCACCGTCGCACTGGTGAGTCAAGGTAAGTGGAAGAAGAAGCTGCTGCATGACAAATGCTGTCTGGTTTGCGCACCCGGCGACCGCCGCGGGTTTTGCGATGGAAGTGTTCCCGTTGTCGTCGCCGAACTTTGATGGCTTTTTGCTTGGCTGATTGATGACAAGGGTTCAAGGCGCAATACCAAAGGATATGAGCTACTGCCGTCCTAAAGCCGCATCTCCGTGCGCTCTTTCCTCCGTTGCTGCCGGAAAATTTGATCCTTCCTCACAGCCATGGAGTATGGAGTGTCATCCATCTCTGTATCTCGGCAGCCGCGGCCCCGCGAGCTATCCCCACCTGCCTACCCTCTCTGGGTAACACAGCCTCGAACTCTTTCCCACAATTCCCCTTGCGCACAGGCACAGCTTGTTTCAACCCAAGTTGCGAAGGGAATCCCAGTTGCCCGTTGCACTCTTTTCTCAGCCCACCCATTCCGCCTGGTCTCTTTTTCGGGCCGCTGCACCCTCGTCGCTCGAACCTTGGCCCATTCGACGCAGATCCGAAGCAACCAAAAGAGCCCGACTGGGATCGCGGCGTTCGTTCGCATGCCCCATCGCACCCCATGTCCTTGCCCCCCATGCCCCAGATTTTGCAGCCCAGCCCAGCTCTGTTCAAATTTAGCAGGCCGATGCCAATCCCCGGCTTGCTCGTCGGAGGAGCAGGTAAAAGCGGTGATGCATCGACAGCTCAAAGAGTCCCGGGCACTGTAACGCGACACGCACACACACACGCGACATGTTTCCAGCTGCCCAGTGTACGGGCGGGCGGGCGACACACATGCCGGCGCGAGCCACGTACGTCTGCAAACGGCCAGCAGCAGCAGTGCGCGATCGAGATATGCCGGGGCGGGGAGGCCCTCGAGGCGTCTATCCGCGCTCCGAGTCGAACCAACTGGCTTCCGTCTCAACCAACAAGAACGAAGCAACGGCGGCTATCTCACAATAGGGTCCTCCCGCATGGTGGCGCAAACCAAGGGTTTCTTCCCCTGCCCTCCGCCGTGGAGAGTTGGCCGGGTGTGCGGTTCGCCTTGTTGATTGTCACAGTACATGCCGATACGATACCGGAGAAGGGGGGGTCCATTGCCCGTCTCCCCCACACACCCACCCCCGGCGAGAACGGCCCTAGTAAAAAGATGTGCACTCACTAAATCGTTCCCGCAACGCCGCCTTCACAATTCAGGCCTTTGCCCTTTTCCCCCGGGGGCCTCATCCCTGCTCGAGAATGGCTATCAGCCAGTCCCGCTCTCACATATTCAATGCCGAGATGCTGCCCGTTAGGGCAAATACTACCTCCGCCGTTTGCATTAATCTATTCGGGATTAAAAAGATCTGATGCCAGGTTCCCCCTTCGATATGGTGGGGGGACCAGCAGCATGTCACCATGTCCCTGTAACAGCTCAGACGCTCAAGTCACGATGGACTTCCGCGCTGGTACTAACTAGCATACTGAGCCGAGCCCCGGCGGCCATGGTCATGGTTGGGAACTCAGCCAGTGCCCCTGGTGGCGGAATGCCTCGCATGGCATCCATTCACGGCATCTGCTGCTCTCGAGGGTCCCGGGAAGGGAAAATGCCTGGCCGACCCGGGGTCATCGTGGCCGTCTCTGCCACTTTGGAGAGCTAGGGCGCGTTGAAAGGTCGCAGACGGTACAAGCCTCGTCGAAAGAAGATGTCCAAGAGGGGCAATTCCAACTAACACCCCGGCCTTTGTCACCGTGTCGGCACCGTCTCGTGGCTTGCGTGCACAGTTTTTGGAACGGTCGGCGCCTAGCACTCCAGTTACGTCCAGTGACGGTCGCGAGGCATGTACCAGGGTACAGGGGCGTGTGCATTATGGTCGAGGTACGTACACTACATGCATACCCTACCCTCTCTCACCCGCACCCACCCGACAAGGGCAGTGCGATGCCGTTGCCAGTTTTGTCCTGATTGAGCGAACGAGACTTGATGGTCCCTGGTGGGCGTTCACATGGGTAGGTATTTTTTCCTTCCCACCCGATGTTTCTGGAACGGGGGCGCGGAAAACATACATCAACCTCCTCCCACCTCGATTGCCTACTTTTTTACCTTTAACTTTGCGCCCCACCCTCCCCTCGGAAAGCTCCTCCTCCTTCTCACTAATATAGATGGTTTCCTGACCTCGCCTGTCAGATCAGCCTCCTCTGTCTCAAAACGTTCCCCAGTTCCTTCTACGCCGCACCCTGCCCCACAGCCGGGCCGCACTCGGATTGCCAGCCAAGTTTTATAAGGTCAGGCACCCTTCTTTAGCTTTCCTACGCCACGATCAAGAGATCTCAGAGAGTAAAAGAGAGAGGGAATCGCCGCTGTCGCAAGGAGAACATCGATACCCTTTTTCCCTGCGTCGAGCTCTGAGATCTTTTGGTTGCAAGCAGCAGACAGACCCAAAAAGCAAACGACTAAACATGGATACAGACAGGCAAGACGAGGTCGACTCACCTATGATTGAGGACTTTCTCGACTGCGACCAGTTGATATCAGACTCAGACGGCGGCAGCTCTGGCAGTTCTTCTCCTCGGAGGTCGTTCAAACGCCTTCACATCCACGTCGACATGACCAATACCCAGTACCTGGCGCCTGGGGCGCACCACACCGAACAGTCTCGGATGGACGGCTTGCCGATCTGCACTAGCGGCCCATCAACAAGTGCTTTCTCTTCAGCGGCCGATCTTGACCCCTACAGCGCAGTAAGTTGGCCCGCTGGCCACCTTTTCAAGGTTTTCCCGCGACTCACCACCCGATTCCAGGTATCCGGCGTCTCGTCGTTCAACTACCCTGCTGCTGCTGACCCAAGCCTCCTGACGCCGGCATCGAGCTCGGGGAGCCCTCCTCTGCAGCACAAACAGTCGGGAAAGCCCATGCGCACTTACCACCACTCTCAGGCACCGGCTCTCGCACCACAGGCGCCGACGCCTCCCGACACTTCCAAGATGTACAACTACAATGGTTACGAGCTCAACTCCAGCAGCCAAAGCCCCTCTCCCATGACGGTGAACCCGACAGTGACCGAAGCTGCGCCCTTCATGACGCCCTATATGGCGCATTCTCCCCCCGTCAGCCACCACACCTCTTCGCCTAAGAGCGAGATCCCGCCTCCGATCGATCCTTACCTCGGCCACTTCACAGTCTCGGGCGGAAACGACGGTGATGTAACGCACCACTCGCTGCAAGACTACCACCCGTACGGCGTTGAGGTCGCCCAGCCCGGCGCATACCTTACTCAGCAACACGTCCCTGTCGGCACGCCTCACATGCACCACCGCATGCCTTCCAATGGTTCGGCACCAGTACTGTCGCAACCCCACCCTTCCCACTACAGGCCGCACTCTGGGGGCCAAGTAGGAGCGATCGAAGACCTGCGAGACCCTGCCATGCTCCTCGGGCCCTACCCACCTCACGGTGCTATGAGCCCCGGGAGGAGAATGCCGCCGCGGAAGAAACCCTCGAATTCTAGGAAACCGTCCCGCACATCCAAGGCGATACCCCACGCCGAGTCGAGTGCCAATAGGCAGTTCAGGCCGGAAGACGATGGAGAGGAACTCACACTGAAGGACGACGCTCCGGAAGATGACAAGTACCTTTTCCAGCTCCGAAAGGAATTCATCTCAGAAAAAGGGAAGGGCATGTGGGAGGAGATGAAGGCCAGGTACTCAGAGAAGCACCAGGGCAACTGGGAGAAGGCCGCCCTGCAGATGAAGGTCTCGCGAGCAGTGGCCCGGTATGGCGTATGGCCAGAAAGAGAGGTAAGATGCGAACCCCCCCCCCATCCCCTATCACCGATCTCTCTCTGTTTTTAGCCATGGTGCTAACGATTACGCGTCACAGATCGATCGGCTTAAAGAGGCCTTCGACTACTTCGAGGAGATGCGGTACCAGCTCATCATCGCCCGGATGAAGGAAACCGGCGGCTGCCGGGTTTGGGACTGGAAGAAGCCGCATATCGTTGCGATGCTGGTAAAGTTGGGCTTGGAAGAACCAACAGTCAACGAGAAGACAGGGACACGCCGGCGCAGGAAAGCGGCCAAGAGGCAAGGCGGCCCTCAGAATGGCGGCCACCCCGTCATGGGCGACTGGTCGGGCGGGCTCGGCTTGCACCACCCGGTTTACCACGGCCACGGTCACGCACACCACGTCGCCGCCGCCGCGGCAGCGCGTCAGGGCCAGCCGTACGACACCATGATGGACGACGACTTTGGCGGGGCACCCAACCTGACGGCCAAGGAACAGGACGACCTCATCAACGACGTCTTCAGCAACGTCAAGCCAGAACGCAGCCTCAGCCCAGACGACGGCATGGACGGGCTCGCGTATGGCAACGGCACCGACGGCGGCGCACGACGGCCCTCGATGGCCGCCCCGCGCGAGTTCAACCACCAGGGCAGCGCCCGTGTGGCACGGCAAGCGTGCGATCAACTGCTACAGCACCCTTCTTCATAGATAGATACCCCGGGAAATGCAAAACGGCAACGGCGCAAGGATAATGACGAGATCATGGCACAGCCACCACGGCAAAGGTACCAGGAAACCAGATGACGGGGGGCTGGGTAATCAGGGCAACCTGGCATCTTTTTTGGGTTTGGGTGGGTGGTTCTGGTTCTGGTTTGGGGGCGGTAATCCTGTATTTTTACCAGCATCGTCATCATCGTTTCTGTTTCCTTCTCGATCTCAAAGCCAAAGTTACCCTTTTCATTCATTCCTCGATTTTTTCTTTCTTTTTACTTTTTACATTGCAACATTGCAACATTGCAAAACAAGAGATAGCTACCTGCTCGCGCAGCCTCCATGTTTCTCTCTCTGTCTCTCTGTCTCTGTGTGTGACACTTTCCTTTCCTCCCGAGTCCCGAGTATTCCTCATCAATTCCGTTACCATTTCCGGCGGGGCCAAGTGATTACGGCGAAGTTCGGCGGCGGGGCGCGCTGGTGTTTCGGACTCGAGTCCTTCTCAGTTTCTCGACGGGATCCGTCATCCATCTCACAGATTGTCATTTTACGGTGCGGCGAAGCAAGAGAAGCTCGCTCACCCTGCCTTTCCCTTTCCCGTTCCGGGAGGCAAAGAGCCATGGCACGGAACGTATAATCTCAGGTCAGGCATCAGGTTATAGCCCGTCATGAAAGAAATGGAAAACGACGCGGACTTTACAAAACATGTTTCGTCTTGACTTTGCTTTGCGAGTTACCTGCTTAAGCTGTTTACCTCTCCTTCGGGGAAAATGTACACACAAGGTCAAACGAAACACAGCGCAGCAACTTTCCGGTTTGGGGCTTGGCAGTGAGACACAATGGGATGGTGCCTGAGCGGCAGCAAAGCCACGCCGACTCTGAATCCTCCGAGATCCCAGATCCCCGGTCCCGCATGTAACCACAGCGCGCGACAGCGCCACAGGCAAGTTGCAGATGTCTGGAGATTTCATCCTCAGATCCCGCGTCTCGGCCGGGGCGGGATTCGTTTGCGATCCGCAGCGAGATCCCGATCGCGAATTACAGCCATACGCAGTCAAGTTCCAAATCCGAAAGGAGTAAACGCTGCCGTTTGCTGAACGCTGATTGATTCTGACTGTGTCTGATCCCGGGCGCACGCGAGATCGTGTGTGAAACTGGCGAAGGGAGAGGGCTCTGTGTAATCCCCCCCAGTCGGAAATCTGGAAACATAGGGTACCTTACTTCGTACTCCGTACCTTCATGCGGATTCGCATTCGGGGGACCACCCTATCCGGGCTTACCAGGCTGCCAGGCAACCGATCTCAACATCGCAACCCGATCGCAATAATCACCAAACGCCGAAACTCATCCCAGGTTGCCAAGCATGGGAAACCCGGGCAGGCATTCCCGGAATGGGTTACACAGTGTTCCAGGCTGGAAACAAATCAATCCAATTCGGAACTTTGGAGAGATCGCAGTGCGACGTTACGCACGTGCTGCCTTTGCTTCAGGCAAGACAAATATAGCAAAATAATAACGAACTATGTACAGCCGTAAGAAGAAGCAAGTCAAACCCCGGGCATCGGCGAATTTAATCTCATCAACCATTTTGCGAGAAGCTTCGGACGGTGATGCTGCTACTGAGCTGAGGCTGCAGGAGGAGGAGGAAAGCACAAGCAGCAGCAGCAGCGAACATCTCCATCTCCTTCCATCAAGCAAGTGGAGCCCGGCGTACTCAACCAAAAAAAAAAAACCGGGGTCTTCCGAGCTTGGTAGGGATTGCACGTGCGCGATCAAGTGACTGACCGGCCCATGCGGCCGCTTGCGTTCCAGGGTTCGGCCCGGGAAAAAAGGGACAGAGGAGAGACACCAACAGCCAACAACCTTCGAGGTACCCCACATGGAAACGGAACTGCAAGCAATCGCGCGCGCGCACCAACCTGCAAGGGGTAATAATAATATTGGTTATGCGCGCTGCCGCCAACCGGCCACCCAACATTGCAAATTTCGGGTTTTGTGTTTTTGGGTTGTTGATTTTTTTTTCTTTCTTTCGCCAATGTTGTTGCGTTGGGCAAGTTGGAGAAAAGAAAGGTGAAACCAGGGGTAGGGAGGAACTTCACGGACATACCGAAGAACTGGAGAGGAGCAAACAATGCTCGTTACCCCGCAGATCGCGGGGCGGCCGTCAGGGCGGAAAGGAATCAACGAGAATCAAAAACCCGGCAAGCCCGCTGACATATCCTTCTTAACCGCCGAAATGGGGGCTCTCCTTGACACCGCGGCTGGGTGGGGGGGTTGGATGTTTGTGTCGCTTTGATATGCCCAAGTTGGCGGCAAGTGCATGAGCTAACTCAGAGTGGCCGTAGTTGGTATGGGAGTCTTCCGGTTGGTCGTGTCCGTGGTTGCTCGAACCCGCGAATACGACGGCACGGGGGGGCTGGCAGGCGTTTGTTTAGCTTTGTGGTTGTTGATATCGACGGCATGACGGCATCTGACTTCACCTCCAACTGTTGCTCAATCAATAGGGTGGAATGTTTCATGTGGTAGGTTGAAACCGCCTTTGAAAGTGCTTGCCTTTAGCACCGTTGGGCCGAGTTGGTGGACGTCGAAGTCGAGACCGAAGAATCCGGCCTCTTGGTGTTGGTTGCGGCTCATGACAGTCGAAGACCGACAAACAGCCCTACAAAGTATGTACCACGCCGGCATCACGGCACGCTGCAGCAGGTCATTCCAAGCTGCAGATAGGGGCATCCCGCTCGTGCAACCCGGAATCGAACTCGGCGCGGCCGATAAAATGTGATGGCAGGCGTCTGTCATCTCGGGTAATTCGGGCGACATGACGACGACGCGATGGCATGGCATGACACGTCTGTTAAATTAAGTGGCAATTGCTTCTCGCCGAGGATCGGTCCGTCGTGCGTAACCTCCCTCTGGGCAAAGATGGGCGGGCATGGTGAGCATCACACAGTATGCGGACGGGTGTATCTGCAGGAGGGCGGTTGCAGCCACCCGGGGTCGAATCTTTGACCGTTTGCGCCCGCCCGCTGTTGGGCGCGGCTAATAGAATTTTGCCGCGCTCTCCATCCCGTGGACCTGCAGGTTGAAGTTGGTTAGTTATGTGATTCTCTGACCGGCTGTGGTTTGTGATGTCTCCTCGGTCGTACCAAGGCGGATGAAACTTAGCCTTCAAGCCAATTCCTTTCTTGGGTTCCATTGACGGCCGAATGGTTGGGCATAGGAACAGCAACCTTCAGTGGGCCATAGGATTCAGTTTGTAGTCACGGCCGGAGAACGAGAGGGTTTGGTGTGATGCCTAAAGAAGCCGGTGATGAGATCGTCCAGGTCACTGGGACTTTGAGCATGAACGGTGACTTAACTGAAGGATAACGGAGCTAGAGCCATCTTGCTTGCAGAACACTTGAAAAAACACTGTGCACAAGGCAACTTGAAGGAATGGTCTTGTTACCTAACTAACAAGGTTTTGGAAACTGTGGTTGGCGCCCGCCCGTGCACAACGCTATGCACGCTGCATTTGGGTTAATTGGATTGCATCGAGTTCTCCAGACTCTGACAACCCGGATCTGCGTGCCGTGGGAAAAAGGACTGGTTGGGGAAGCGCGCATTCTGCATTATCCCCAGCTGTAACGTAACTGCGGCATTAGCTGAGATGTATGCGCTTACCTACTTAGATGATTGACATTGGGGACCTGCGGTTTTGATTTGAGTTTGGATTTGGATCTGTTTGATGAGATGATGAATGGATGATGATGTTGATGCACGAAACCCTGAATGGCCCGTCAACTTCCCCGGACCCGCAACGGCGCTGACATGCCGCCATCCTGCCGCCAAGCAACGGGAAAAGTGGGACTCAGCAGAGGACAGCTTCACCTTCCAGGCTGACAGGGCAGGGCGGGTGATGGAATTCGCTGCTGAGCTGATGCCAAGGCCTGCTTCTGGAACTGCCACATCGGCATCGGCAACAACAATTGCCTACCACAAACTCACAAACCCAAGAGTTGGCTTGCGCGCCCACTGCCACTCCCGCTGCCACTCCCGCCGAACCGAATCGGCGCTTTTCCGGCAAACACACATGTGGCGTTCAGTTTTCTTTCCGAGGTGATGCCCTGTCGGCATGGACTGCCGTTCGTTGGCCGCCGATTATGGCTCCCGATTCAGCCCCGGCCCGGCCATCAATGACCCCCGGCCTCCGGGGGTCCGTCTTCGGCGCAATTGGTCTCACTTTCTCGGATGCATCCTGTTCTTGGTGTGCTGCTGCTGCTTCGGCCATTGGCCCGCCGCTGCGGCCATGCGTCCGGACCGTGTGAGGGAGCTCCGCCGGGAAACTGTCGACATGTTCTACCATGGCTTCGACAATTACATGAATATTGCCTTCCCCGAGGATGAGGTATGGATTTACTCTCTATCAACTTCAGATCGGACTGTTGACCCGGCCACCTTAGCTTCGTCCAGTATCTTGCACCCCGCTCTCTCGGGATGGCAAAAACCCACGGAACGTCGAGCTCAACGATGTCCTGGGCAACTACTCGCTCACGCTCATCGATAGCCTCTCGACCTTGGCAATTCTTGCGTCTGCTCCTCCCGAGGACGGCAATACTGGATCCAAGGCGCTGAGCGACTTCCAAACCGGCGTGGCTGCCCTGGTTGAGCAGTATGGCGACGGCACTCCCGGCCCCTCGGGCGTGGGCCTACGTGGGCGAGGCTTTGATGTCGACAGCAAGGTGCAAGTGTTTGAGACGGTTATCCGTGGCCTCGGGGGGCTTCTGAGTGCCCATCTGTTTGCCATTGGTGCTTTGCCCATCACGGGGTACGAGCCGCGCCGCCCCGGTGACGATTTGCTGAAACCCCGTCCTGTTGTTTGGCCGAACGGGTTCACGTATGATGGCCAGCTGCTGAGACTAGCCCAGGATTTGGGCCAGAGACTCCTCCCGGCCTTCTACACCAAGACCGGTATGCCGTACCCGCGCGTCAACCTTCGCCACGGCATTCCGTTCTACACCAACTCACCTCTGCACGGTGATGGTGCGGCCGGGACCGTGGATGGGCCGCCTGAGATTACCGAAACGTGCAGTGCCGGCGCGGGGTCGCTAGTGTTGGAGTTCACCGTCCTCAGCCGTCTTACTGGTGACCACCGGTTCGAGCAGTTAGCCAAGAGGGCCTTCTGGGCTGTGTGGTATCGGAAGAGCCAAATAGGTCTGATCGGCGCGGGGGTTGATGCCGAGCAGGGGAATTGGATAGGTTCCTATGCCGTGATCGGCGCGGGCGCCGACAGCTTCTTTGAGTATGCCCTGAAATCCCACATCCTGCTCTCGGGCCACGATCTCCCGAACCGGACCGTGGCCCGGCCCAACCAGGGCGGTGCATGGATGGACCCGAACACAATTTTCCCTCCGCTGAGTGACGCCGAGAACTCTCCCGACTCGTTTCTCGAAGCCTGGCATCACGCACACGCATCCATCAAGCGCCATCTCTACAGCGACCGCGACCATCCCCATTACGAAAACGTCAACCTATGGACCGGCTCACTGGCGTCGAATTGGGTCGACAGCCTAGGCGCATACTATTCGGGGCTCCTAGTCCTCGCTGGGGAGGTGGATGAGGCCGTCGAGACGAACCTGCTCTACACTGCCATCTGGACACGCTACGCCGCCCTCCCAGAACGATGGTCTATGCGAGAAAAAACTGTCGAAGGTGGGCTGGGCTGGTGGCCGTTGCGGCCCGAGTTCATCGAGTCCACGTACCACCTGTACCGCGCCACCAACGATCCTTGGTATCTCTATGTCGGCGAGATGGTACAGCGGGATATTGCAAGGCGATGCTGGACCCCATGTGGCTGGGCGGGGCTCCAAAACGTCTTGGATGGGGAGAAGAGCGATCGCATGGAGAGCTTCTTCCTCGGGGAGACCGCCAAGTACATGTATCTGCTCTTTGATGACCGGCACCCGTTGAACGCATTCGACGGCGCATACGTTTTCACGACCGAAGGCCATCCTCTCATCATCCCCACAGGCGTGACTGAGGGCAGACGCCAAACCGCTAGACCTAATCGGAAGGACTTGACCATTCACCACGATGAAGAGTTCACCAACTCGTGCCCTCCACGCCCGGCCACGACTCCCCTATCCGGCTCAGTTATTGCCGCCAGAGACGACATATACCACGCTGCACGCATGTTGGATCTACATTTGCTGTCCACTTCGCCACTCACCGTCGATGGTGGGCAAATGTCCGGTCAGCATATGGCTCGATCCAACTTTACGTTGTATCCCTGGACACTCCCGGCCGAGTTGCTGCCCAGTGACGGTATCTGCGCCAGAGTCAATCACCCGGCAGAGCTCATCCTAGAGTTCTCATCGAATGCAGGGCAAGCAGCTGGCGGGAGTGCCTTCAACTTCATGCTAGGGAACCAAAACTTGGAACGTCTGAGCGTAGACCGCATCCGTGTTACCAGCTTGTCCGGACTGAAAATAACGATGCGTCTCGAAGAGAGCCCGGAGCGAGAATGGCGAGTCAACAAGATCAACGGTGTCCCCCTGGGCCGCGACGAGTCCGTTATCTTTGACCGGTCCATCCTCGGCGAGATCTCAGACCCCAGGTTTACCCTCGTTCGTGACCCCGTCATGGCCAAGCTCCAGCACCTCCACCAAGTCGATCTCCTCGGCAATGACACAGCAGAGACCACCAACCATGACGCCCACCAAGACGACGACGAGGAGCCTCACGTCGAAACCCTCCAAGACACCGAGCACTCCGCCGACGCCCTCACCGACCTCGGCTCCCTCGTCAAATCCCTCTTCAGCCGCATCACCGCATCCCTCGACATCCAACTCCCCACCTCCCTCCCCAGCATCGGCATCAACATCGGCACCGGCAGCGCCTCCCTCCCCTTCAACCTCGTCATCAACACAACCGCCATAACCCCCACCGGCGTCGGCGCCGCCCCGCTCCCCGACACCGGCAACACCGTCCCACCACGAACCCCACCCTTCGGCCCCGTCCCCGACGCCGCCTTCCCCTGGTCAACCGTCTACGCAGCGGGCGACGCATGCGGCGGCGCCACCTCCAACCCCAACACCACCCCCCTCCCCGACACCGCCCCCCGCAACCACCAAATCCTGCTCCTCCGCCGCGGCGGCTGCTCCTTCTCCACCAAGCTCGCCAACATCCCCGCCTTCCCCCCCTCCCCGCACGCCCTGCAACTCGTCATCATCGTCTCGGACGACGACCACGACAGCAGCCCCGAAAACCCCCACCCAGGCCTCGTGCGCCCCCTGCTCGACGAGGTGCAGCGCACGCCGGGCGGCATCCCGCGACGGCACCCGCTCGCCATGGTCATGGTGGGCGGCGGGGAGATGGTGTACCAGCAGCTGAGGGCGGCGAGTAGGGTGGGGTTGGTGAGGCGGTACTTTGTTGAGAGTCAGGGGGTGAGGGTGGGGAATATCATTGTGGATGAGGGGGGGGATGGGGGGGAGTGGTGAGGTAGAGAAGGGGGGGGGGGGTTGGTGGATGAGATGATAAATGAGTGGATAGGGAGATGATGTTGTGGAGGGTTGAAAGGTGGGAGTTGTCGGAATTCTTTTTAGGTCTTTTCTCTTCTCGTTTTGTTTATATAGAGCGAGATCGTGACAGTCAAAGCATGTGGGGGTCGGTTTGATGTGCAAAATATTCATGATAGAGTTGTATACAACATTGGTTGACCTTTGGACGACATTGGAGTGAGCGACGAGCTTGACATCCGGTCCGTAATCGGTTGTAACACATTGAGCCATCAAGGTCCTCTCGGGGACACCGTTGGCCATGCTGTCGTTGGCCATGCTGTCGTTGGCCATGCTGTCGTTGGCCATGCTGTCGTTGGCCATGCTGTCGTTGGCCATGCTGTCGTTGGCCATGCTGTCGTTGGCCATGCTGTCGTCACCTTGCACGCATTTATCAGATACTTGTACCGCCATGGACGTGCGCAATGGAGATCAATTAAGCTGACGTCGCCTACCAGACATGCCGCGTCTATCATGCGGTTTCCGGTAGCCCAGCAACTTGATTCCACCCCAGGGCCAATTGACCCTCTTGTACTTTTGATAACCCCAACGCCCGACAGAGCCAACCGCTTCCCCCCTGTCTCAATACCCCCATCCATTAAAGGGATTTCAATCCCAACCCAATTGTAATGAAAAAGAAAAACGCAAAACCTAGCCCACGGAGCCCTGGCTTCCCGCCCACCATCATTAACCAGGCTGTGGTTCTTGGGCCTAAATATGTTGTTGAAAATCGGTGCAGACGAATTAGGCGGCATGAAATCGGGGCCGGAAAAGGGCGGTATGGTCGGCTTGAGCACACAACAAATGTCGGGTTTACTCGTCCGTCTCGAGGAGAGTGACCGTCTGGACACCGTCGAGCTTGGAGCGGCCGTTGAGAAAGGGGATCTCCAGAATGAAGAGATAGCCGATCAGATCGCCACCCAACTGCTTAACGAGCGAGCCAGCAGCAGCAGCGGAGCCGCCTATTATGCAACGTTAGCTTAATGCGCCACAGAATTGACCATCGCTTCTTTTTTTTCCCCGCTGAGCAGCCCGATAAACAAAAATACCCCCGCTTGTTGTGGGAAAACGGGACGAGGCGAGATGGCGGGGTTGGGTGATTGGCGGGATTCAAGCCAGTGGTTTGCGTGAATGGCGCGCGATTGGGTATGTCTTCACTCACCAGTAGCAATAATGTCATCGACCACAAGGACTTTCTGGCCGGGTTTCACCGCACCCTCTTGCATTTGGAAAAAGTCGGTTCCGTACTCCTTTTCGTAGGCGGCTGTCACGCAAGGGCCTGGCATCTTGCCCTTCTTGCGGACGGGCACAAAGCTCGCATTGAGACGTAGAGCGAGCGAGGGCCCAAACAGGAAGCCCCGCGCATCCAACCCCACTACAACATCAGGCTTCGAGTGCTCGGCAAACTCGAGGACCTGGAGTTCGAGGGCGCGCAACAGCGCAGTATGGATTGCAGGGTCCTGGAACAGAGGGAGAATGTCGATAAACTGAATGCCGGGGATCGGGAAGTCCGGGAAGCTCTTGAGGGCGCCGAGCAGAGTTATCTTTGTACTGGCGAGTTCGGAGGCACCGGCGGCGGCGGCGGCGGGCTGTCCTCGCGAGGCATCGTTGGAATTGGTAGAAGGGGTGGCGGTGCTGCTAGCCAGGACGGCGGCTTCGACAGAGGTCGTGGGGATCTGGTCTTTGCTGGTCTGCGCCAGAGATTGGGCAGTGTTGGCGGAAGTGCTCATGTTGAGGGAAGAGAAGGAGGGAAGGAGGGGAGGGGAAGGAAGGCAAGGCAGGCAGGCGCGGTGCTCGTGTCTCAAGAGCAAGAAAAAAAAATTGCGGCCAGCAGGGTGTGCAGCACGAAATGCTTGGGCGTCAGCAGTGGAAAGAGACAAACGAGCGAATTGGACACCCTGCCATCAATCTGCCAGAGCGCAAAAAGAGAAACTGAAAACCGAGACGGCCCCTCCCGGAAGGAGTCAGAGGGGACCTGAGCCCCCTGGTGGAGTCGGTGAGGGAAAAAGCCCCTCAAACAGATTCGTGTGTTGCAATCTGCACGATGGCTGTCCTCCCAAGTGGAGGAGACCGGCCGAGAAAGCGGCCAGCCCTGTGATTATTTGCACCGGGGTTACCCTTCCGGGATAACAAGTGAGTCCTTCGCGGCCACTCGGGGGGCCATGGCGATGGATGTCCTGTCTTATCTCTCTCTCACCAGAATAAACGGCAAGAAAATAAATCGACTTACCGTCTTTGACTTAGTTACGCCGATATGCGGACGAGTTGACCTTGGAATGGACCCTATTATCTTGGAAGATTACCGGCAAGTTGAAAATGCTTGGTCCGACTCTGGAGAAAATCCGCGTCTTGATGAGATTGGATGAGTTGGGAAGGTGGGGTGAAGGTGATCTCAGGCGGGACAAACTGAGATGGGAGGAGCATGGTCCGCCAAGCCAAGCCCGGTACCTGAAGACAGCCACTCAGGCAAGCGCAGCTGAGGCTTTGTTGCCTAGCGATGCACAGAAAGTTTTGTCCCATCCAAGATCGTAAATCTGTCCCGCAACAACAACCACTCACTTCACCCAGAACACCCGTGGACGGGCCATGGCATTCTAACAAAAACACACCGCTCCCGCTCCTGGGCCCCCAGCTGGCTGTAGTCTCGGGTTCACTGCATGCACATGTATCACAGCCCCAATGCCGACTGGCTGCACCCCCGTGGTCGGTCTGCAAGCTGAGGATGGCGGATGCCCTCTTGTGGCCCTGTGGCCTGTCGAGCCTGTTTCCAGCTCATCACATCCTGGCATCAAAAAACAACCGACGGACCTGCAACCATGGCTGGACAGCCCACCCACGCTTATCTAGTTGTGGAGAATTCCCCAGATTCACGGCCTTTAGCAAAGCCAACCGGTATGTTCGGAGCTTATCGGAGAGTGGGAGGGTCATGTTGCCACTCCGCTAGCTCGTACTCTTCGCGGACCGTCATCCGACAACTCCCGTGGGATTGAACGAAATGCAACCCTGACATCAACAGAGCGACTATCTCAATACCTCTGGGCCATGTGAAAGAGGAGAAAAAAAATGAGCAAAACATGCCAGACAATATGAATCGCGAGAGAAGCATCTGGCCCAATATCGCCGAGCATTGAGCAACCAACCAGTGCGAATGCGGGCTTGGTCTCGAACACACACAGACACACACACACACACACACACCAAAACCAGCTCACTTACACAAACGAGGCTCCACCATCACACCACCATCAGGACTATATCTATCCAGCCAATTGCCATCTCACACCCCCACGGCACTCGCACCTCACTTGGCTTCTTGGAGCGAGCTACTGCCTGTCTAGTTATTGCGAGATGTGACGGAACTACCAGCCCAACACCCTCCCGCTCCCACACGGCAAACAATAGGACCACTTGCCTGGAGGGGAACCCGCAGACGGGCTGTGTCGTTCAAGCATTTCTTCGGCCGGCCCACCTCCGTTTGGCTCGCGCCCGGATCTCTCGACATACCCGGTCCTCATTCATCGGCGCTCATCAACTCGCAACTCGGCACCGGATTTCGCGTTTGGTGGACTTCCTTCCCCGGCAGCCGCGCAGCCTACCAAGGGCCTGCTGTCCGACTGTGGTTCCGCAACAGTTGTGGTGGGAGACCCAATAAGAGGTTTCAAGCTTGAAAATGTTTCACCGCCCCCATTATGCAAGCTTCGTAGCTGACTTGCCTGCTTCTCAAGTAAAGGTCAATGGCGGCATATCTAACCCCACCACAGTCTCCTTCCCTGGCGATTTCTAATAAACTGGTGCATAGCTATGTATGCATGGACACGGTAAATGTAGAATTGAGACAGCATGGACATCAGTTGCCGAGCTCACCTCGGCCGCGACGACTCTAATGGTGACAACGTACTGAGGTTGTTGACCTAACTACATGCAGTTCAGCTTATTGCGCACTAGTTTTCTAGCTGTTTCCGACGGCTAGATGGTTTGGTTTAAAGACCATGCCTCCACCCGGTATTTGAACTCTTGTTTTGGAGGGCCGAGACGTCTCACTCTTCTTCCAATGCCAACTCACTGACCGAAATTGTGGCTCCCCGAGCGGATACACCAAGCTACACCGGGACCCGTAACAACATCTCGTGCAATCACGCCCATCATCCGATCATCGGTATAATACCTAGCGACTATGGCCGTGAAGAGCCGCCATTCTGTCATCAACATTTAGGGCTGTATCCCTCTACCTTTCCAGATCCTGGGTGGTCTTCGGCTCCTCGTAGCCGCGATGGCTCCCACAAACACGAGGATGAAACTGCTCAAGACGGAAAGTAGGTGCAAGGCAATGCCTGCCCTTACCTTGTCAGATTAGGACGAAGACCCGCACCCGTTGTACTGCCATGCCGATAGCAGGCCGGCAGAGTGGTAGATTCTAGATCGTCTGCATGAGCCGTGCGACAGCAAACTGCAGCCTCCACTTGGCAATCATCGACCCATCATCGACTACAATGTACACGGCTGCATTAGTCTACCCGCTGCTCTATTTCTCCCGTTCTGGCTCGGAATTGCACCACCTTCACCGCCCACCCCCTTACGATCCACCCGGTTGTGGACTCGAAACTGACCGCCTTGTCGTTGCCCCCGAGCCAGCCTGCAGAGCAGTCCACTGGGTAGGTCGAGAGTGACTGGCCCGGATCTCCGGCTCCATACACCAAACACGCGGTGGCACCGCCAGCGCAGGATCCGAAACCGGATCTGGGCCGCAGCCTCAAGTCCCGAGCGGAGGGTAACACGGCATCGACTATCAGTAAGGCTGTATCTGACTTGTCGGCGCTTCGCCGGATGACTGTCCCGATATGAACCCCAGGGCCGAGCACAGCAAAGACGTTACGCGGCCCAGACCAGGGGATGTTGTCTTCCCGCATGTTTGCTCAAGAAACCAGCTGCTCAGGCCACCGCCCGTATGGACATTACTTCGTATCTCAACCGCAACCAATTCCCCACGCCTCGCATCGAGAGCACCTCCACCACACCCCTCCCATGCAAAGCCCCAGCCGGAGCCGATGCCAAGTTCCAACCCGCATCTTCACTTCAGACCCGGAGGTTGAACGGCATGACGCAGTGCGACGGGGAGGGGAGGGGAAGGGAGGGGAGTGGGGGACCCATAACCGGCTCAGTAGGTACCTACATACATACATACATACATACATACATACATACATACATACATACATACATACATACATAAAGTACCAATCTACCCAGAAGATCTCGCTGCAGCCGGCCCGCGTCCGGGAGGGTAGCAGCGCACTCTCTTGCCGTGCTGCAGCGCGAAGGAAACAGAACAAAAAGAAAACAGAGCCCGCTGGCCATCCCCGTGGAACCCGAGCCGTGACGTGACGTGACGTGGGCCCCTGGGATATACATACCTGCCTTACCCTTATCTCCTCACCGGCCCGACGAGGAGGTCGCTTCCTGCATATCGCACACCATCGAGGAGGGTGGGCCGATGCAAGCCGTTGATAGCGGAAATAGTTTGGTTAATGTATGTGGCATTGTGGGAATGTGTTTTTGTCTGTCCATTGATACGAATATAAAAAGCAAGTCTGCCTCCTTCTCTCATATCTATCATCGTGTCTATCGTAACAGCGTGCCCATCCAGAAGCGTATTATATCTGTTTCAAAAACCATCAAAGAGGCGCTATGCAATGAGAAAGACAACAGGGGGTATCGTGCATTCATCCATCCATATGCAAATGCTCCCAATTCCTCGCTCGCATGCATTAAAAAAGAGGGTAAAGAAAAGCGAAGCAAAATTTATGCCGTAAAACAGAAGACAAGTAAGGTTGTTAAACTTTGTGGGTTCCGAACAATCCAAGGGTCCGGTCCAGCGAGCGGCCCACGGATCTTAGCCAGCACACGGGAGCGAGCGGCGGGCTGTGAGAGGCTGGACCCGCCAGGGAAAGGATGCGGACGCTTGACGCAATAATAAGCCGGGGTTTCGCTTTTAGCATCGCCAATGCCTTGCCTTTCCGGCAACACGTTCTCTCGGCGGGGCCGGATCGTAATCCCGTGTAAGCTCACCGAAACTGGAGCCGAATGATCGAGAAGAGCATGTTTTGCAGCACGTGCAGCATGACGGCGACGCAGGTCGGCAGCAGCTCGGGCCAGACGATGAAATCGAGCTTGCCCTCGGTGACGACGCTCACTTTGTAGATCCAGCGGATGAGCCAGTCGACGATGAAGCTCGCGGCAAGCTCGCACGCCCAGGTAATGGTGGAAGCGTAGAAGGTCAAGCCAAAGTTGTAGCCGCCGTCTTCCTCGGTGCTGTCGAAGGTGAAGTAGGGGTAGACGTCCTTGTTGGCGCCGAAGTGCAGGACCACGACGCTGCCAAGGAAGGTCAACATGGATGCGTTCTCAGCCATGAAGCGGATGAAGACGTTGCGGATGCACATCTTTTGGTATGAGCCGTAACTCTGGCCGTTGACGCCAATCACGGATAAGAACCAATGGAAAGGGGCCGACATGAGTATCGGGGTGACGATGATGAGGCCTGTCGAGGAGAGGACCTGGAGGAGGATGAACTGCGAGGGACTACGCAGGCGCGCGTACAGGGCGCGGACGTATGTTTGGTAGGTGAGCATGAAGTAACTGTGTGATTTAGTCAGTAGGGTCTCGAATATATTTGGTAAGAGTACTCACAGCTTGAAGATCCAGCTCAGCGGGTAGCTTCCGACCCGCTCACCTTCGTTCCCTCCCAATATCCACCCCGTTAGCCCGTCAAGCAGGTAGACAGTTGATATCCACCCGTAGACGTAGACGATGGTCTCCAGGTTGTTATGCGGCAACGTGCGCAGGTAGATTTCTGCGTAGGCCTCCCCCAGGACGTAGGCCATTAGACCGATGGATAACGCGAGGCAGAACCACACAAAGCGGACGAAGCTAGCTGGCAGCCATCGCCGGCGCAACCTGACGGGTACAGCAGGGCGGTGGTAGCGGCTGTCCGTAACGCCTAATGACGAATCCCCTGGGGTTGGATCAAAAGCGTAAGGGTCCAGGCCAGCACGGCTCCGTCTTCCGCCGCGTGGCGATGGGCTGTCGAGCTCTCCGGCCCACCATGATGTAGTGAAGATGCGCTGCGTTTCGGAGAGCGATTGCCGCAGCTTGATATGGCGCTCGTTCGTCATGAGAATGCAAAAAGCAATGGCGACGGGCATCGCCATGATGATAAAAGTCCAGGAAATCCAGACGGTGTTGTGGATGGTCAGGAACCTAGCCTCGGGGATGAGATAGATGGGGATTGGTGCGGCGATGGACACCACGGCGATGGCGGACATGGTGATGGGGAATCCAAGCGGTTGCGGCCACCAGTTGAGGCTGTAGATGTTGAATACCTTGGTGATCCAGATCAGGGCCGTTAGGTTGTAGAAACTGTAGTACACGAAGAGGAAGAACCAGAAGTTAACCCGTACCCTGGCGGCTCCGTGGCCCGGTACCTTATCCCGGGGGGTATCTTGCGGTTCTCCTGGTCGTCTGCCTTCCTCGCCGGGAAGCGGGTACTGGGGGAAGGGGATGGAAACCCACGCTACGGCCTGCAGAAAATGGTTAGCGTTAAACGAGTCAAAATAATACCAGAACCCATCCAGCTCAACTCGAGTCCCTGACCAAGAACATAAAACAGACGGGGCAACCT